ATGGTTTAAAATCAGAGAGAAATCTCTCAGGAAATTTTGTATTTTCTTCTCAGGGCCATGTTGGATTGAAAACAGGAGGTAGAAGCCTTTGGCTGAACCTCAGAGTAGGACAGTAAAACTACGAAGGGCTCGCAGAGTGGTCAGATCCTAACCTCCCTCTTTTGCTGCTCCAGCAGCCCATTTATAAGTTTATCATACTGCACTGTCCCTGCTAAAATCAGGGTGCCCATTTCTGCCATGATTCATGGTAGAAAATTGCTCTAGAAATGTGCAGCGTTGGTGGTGGCCTATTATACGAGACATTGCAGTGCATCACTTCGTGTTGGACGGTGCTGTGCCCACTAGGAAGTAGAAGAATGACGTCTTGCTTGTGTTTTGGTACATGTAATGTTACTCGTGAGCGGATTCAGCAGCTGGGCATGTGATTTAAACTGCTGTCTGTTCTGCGCTTGGTGATGGGCCAGCGCAACTGCTGATGGGACACAAGGAGCGTCATTCTTCAGTACTGGCAGGGAGGTAGTGAAACCTACAGCGGGAAGGAAAGGGCAGCTGAGCGTAAGTATCTGTTAGGGTACATTTTCAGTTAGCAAAGTGGCTTTTTAGTCAGATGTCTCATGTTCAGGGGAATTGTAGGTGGTTTCCAACCCTTTCTCATTACTGCAGCCTTGCAGAAAAGAGGACATTCGGTTTTTAAACTTTGTCTCACACACAGTCAGAACTCTCAACCAGAAACATAATATTCGTGAATCCTTCTAAAGGTAACAGTAACACTGCCAAAAAGACTGTTGTCTAAGATGATTAAAAAAATCACACCTGAGAATGCTTTAAATAAGTAAATAAAATGGGACATAAACTTTAGCTTCAGCTACTGGAGATTCATAAAATGAGATCTGCTGGCTGTTGCTCCCAGACAAGCAAAACGTTTATATGAATAAGTAGGCTCACCAAGTAAAACTTATTACTTACACAAATGTACTTACTGGTGTACCAAAGTCTTAAACTGTTTACCTGAACAGAGGCATTATCTAAAAAGCTTTCTGGGTAGGAAAAAAAGGAAAAATATGATTATTCTAAACAGGATGAGTAGCTGCTTGATACGCTTCTAAAGAATTCGCACTTTGTGGCCTATACCTGTCCTTCAATGAGACAAAAACTAAAATGGAATTATAGTCGTTCATCCTCCTAATTTCCAACATTTTCCCCCTCTCTTTTTGTATCCCTTTATCAAAATGCACAGATGTTGGAGTTCTTGGTCAAAACACTTTAAACATCCTCAGAAATTCCTAAAGGTGGAAGCCTTGGTATCTGCAGTAAGAAAAATGTTGCAGTTTTGGGAAAGTGATAATTTTTGGAAATGCCAGCAATGATGCTGATCATTAACATCTATTAGCCTTGTGTTACAAGAATAGTGGCAGTTATTGTGATTATGCCCTGATAATCACTAATGGACTGCTGAACAGGGCATTGCACTCAGAAAATCAGTGGTATTCATTATAGATGTGACCGTGACCAAACCCCTGGATTTCTAGATTGTTTTCTTTTAATAGGTGAAATGTTTTTGTTAGTCCATGACTGGTTCAGATTGTGCACAAAGGTAAATGGCACAGAACATATTGTGCCAAGATTGAGATAGAAACAAATTCTTACCTAAAGCAGAAATCCTTCTCATCAACTATTGTTTGATGAACTACTTACCTAAAATGCCCTAACTGGAAAGGAAAATTGTAATTCAATCTTAAACACCTTTTTCTGAGTTGTTCATTTCCTATAGAAGTCCTGATTGCGGAGACTAACAGGATTAGTACCTGCACCCAACTGAATGAGAAGATTCTGTACTGGGAATAGCACTGCTGAGCATTTTCACAGGCCTGCTGGGAAGTTCATTGATAAGCTTTATTACCATAGCATTCTTTTGTAGCCTTTCACTTGCTAAATCTATTTTAGAAACTTGTGTAGAAACTTCCAACAGTAATGTCAATATCAGTGAATAACTTCTTGCTAGTATGGGACAGATGAAGATGTTTGATTTCTGGTGTACATACGGACAGGTAGGGCTAAAAACTGTGACTCTGCTCTGCAGCCTGGGCAGGCTCTGAGCTGTGCCCTGACCCATGTGCTGGGTAACCTCCACCTGCCCACCAGCGCTGGCAGTGCAGGGCTCTGGGCAAGAGGGAAGGAAGGTGGCAGCTGCCGGTTCTTGTCTTCAGGTCTTGCCCTGGGCTTCAGGGTGAAAGAAACTGCCCAGGTTTTTGCTCTCAAGAAAATGAGAAGTCACCGACCTGCCCCTCTTCACTCGCTGCTGGCAGAAGCAGTAGTGATATTCTGGGCACTGCCTGTTAGGGATTCTCCATGGGATCGGTGTGGAGAAGGCAGATGTAAAAACAAAACAGAAGGAGCTTTGGCTGCTTCACGTAAGCCTGTAGAGGTCTGCACTCATCCCAGGACTAATGCTGGTAGACAAAGTTGGATCTATGGCAGAACGGTTCTTGGGAAACTGAATGAAATGTGGAATCTCCTAGCTTGTTTAAAGTGGCTCATATACTTACCCTGTACCTAATAGCAGGATATAACTAAAATGAAGATGAGTAATAGAAACAATCTTCTGGCTAATCCTAGAAAAAACTTCTTGCTATATTACATAGCTGTAAGCCTATAAATTGAAGTTAGGAACTACTCTTTTAGTGGTATTTAAAACCATTCTTTTGTTGTAGTAGGAAAACAGAGTAATCCCTTTTGTTTCTCATAGTGATGTCGAGAAGCTAGTTAAGAAACCCAAGTAGAGCTCTCTGTCAGCTTGTAAATGTGCTGCTGGTACACTACTACTTTAATCAAAGTTCTTGAAGCCAAAGCTTTTTTAATGGTGTACTCTCTTTTGTTATTCAGCTTATCAATAAAAACTGAATATTGACTTGGTCAAGTCCCACATAGGACTGCACTTGGTAAATCTCATTTATTTGATACTGAATCCTTTATAGCTATTCTCTAAGTAGTTTTTTGCCTACTTGTTTGTACATTCAGTGGAGAGGGGTTTTCAGTTATTTGGATCATATTATGGTTATCTGGGCATATAAATTCTTTTAAGGGCAGGTTTATTTCCTTTCTGTACTGTTTCATCCCAGGTGAAGGGAATGGCATTCAGTTTTCGGTGTTGATAAAAAGACCTAGAACTATACCTGAAAATGTATCTCTCACTTGAGCTGACCTTGTGGAAAACATGAAATGGAAAGTCATTGGACACAGCTGAAAGCAAATCTTTTGAAATGAAAATAACACTTAAAGACTGAAAATTCAGAGTTCAACACATTCCTCAGCCAGCCACTGCAGTCACTGGTTTAGGTACAAGAGTTGCTGAGGAGTTTGCCTTGCCAGCTGCTGCAGGACAGAAGGGAAGTATGCGGAGGCCTGATAGTAATATTGCAGTTTCACAGCTCAGGTTCTTTCCCATTCTGAGATCCTGTTTACTTCATGATTGCAGCATTTTGAAAACATGCTTTAAAGTGTTTTGCATGGTCTGGCTTAGCTGGGGGAGTTTACAGTTCCCATATGCTAAATTGTTGTTGTTATTTTTACTGTCAGAAAACTGAAACCAAAGGCTGGTGGTTATTTTCAAGAACAATTCTGAATTTTAGAATTTGATTTCTTTTTTAAAGAAAAACCATCAACCTCATTATTGCCCTATCCTCCTATTAAAAATATGATCTTATACTCTTATTAAAATACACTTATTAAAAGTATCATCATCCTTATATCAGCCTCCATTTTATGACAGAGTCTGATTCCTACCAATTGTTTTAAGTTTGTGAACTCCTTACTATAATGCTGTGTCAACTTTATGGGATCAAGGAAAAGCAAGAAGTGGTTAAAATGAGAGAACATTTAAATAAAGCAGTATTCTTTCCTGTACAATAAAATAGTAGAAAATTCAGCAGCAGATGGGTAGTGGCTGTACAGGAATGAACTCATGTTCTTTCCTCAAAACACATTGTGGCACGAAGGTGAACATGAGCTTCTGCATAGCTTAAACACCGTCCAGCATAGCTTAAACATAAAGTTTTGGTTCCTGCAAGTACAGCTGAGCTGCTGTTGTTACTGAGTTATTAGCTACATCTGCTTTCTTTGAAGTTTATCAAGGGTAGTAGCCTCAGCTGTAAACTCTCGGAGAGGGAGCTGACTGTGTCAGTGCCATCCAGTTTCCCACTCAGCCCTGAACCCAAGTGCATTTAAAATCAAATACAGTTGTAAGTAGTAAACAGTAGCATTTGAGCCTGTTCAGAGAAGAATGTGTACCCTCCACGCTGCCTGCCTCCTCTGCTTCCAACTGGCAGTTGCACAAACCCGCAAATGGGGAATCTTGACTGTCTAATCAAGAAGCCTGTATTAGGTGGTGTGTGCTCAGCTTAGTGTAGTTCACTGACCAACTTTAAGAGCAAGTGTAAACCATGAAGACAGGCTGAGAAAGTTGGGGCTGTTCAGCCTGGAGAAGAGAAGCTGCGTGGAGACCTCAGAGCAGCCTTCCAGTACCTGAAGGGGGCTGCAAGGATGCTGGAGAGGGACTCTTCATTGGGGACTGTAGCGATAGGACAAGGGGGAAGGGGATTAAACTTAAAGAGGGGAAGTTCAGGTTAGATATAAGGAAGAAGTTTTTTACTGTGAGGGTGCTGAGGCACTGGCACAGGTTGCCTGAGGAAGTGGTAAATGCTCCATCCCTGGCAGTGTTCAAGGCCAGATTGTACAGAGCCTTGAGGAACATGTGTAGCGTGAGGTGTCCCTGCCCATGGCAGGGGGGTTGGAACTAGAGGATCTTAAGGTCCTTTCCAACCTAAACCATTCTATGATCTTATGAAATAATTATTTCTGCCTGTAAGAAAACAGTGCAGTACTGTGTTCTCTGTAGATGGAGGATTTTCCTTACAGCTGCCTTTATTGATATTCATATCATATAAATGTTTGTGTAAGATGTTACACACTTGATTCAACTCAAGGATGTTATTCATTTGCAGATTCTCTCTCTTCTGGCTGTTATTTGTGAAGAAATGGTGGAAAATTGTATCAACTGTGGTGGACTTTACTTCTTTGAATTCATAAGCTGCGGTGCCTTTCTTTTGAGCCTCCTGATCCTCTGTGTGTATTGCACTAATGCATATGAAGTATTTGGGAAAGATAAAGTAGGGAATGTGGTAAGGATTTATTTTTTTTAAACAAATCTTTTCTTGTAAGTGCTGAAAGACTACTGTGGAGTGAAAAGGCTATGCAGAATGAACCTCCTCTATTTAAAGGCTGGATTAAAGTAGATTATAGTTTAAAAATGAGTCAACTTTGAGAGTCCCTTTTATATTGACAACTTTTCCAAGTTGTCATGGTGGTTACCTGCAGGACTTTAGGACCTGTGTGGAAGTTTCTTACACAGACTAGTACTACTGCATAGTCATCACATCTATACATGTATATGGAGCACAGTTTACTGCCGGCATGATACTTGTAACTTCCCTGTTTATCTATTTTCCTAATGGGTGTAGCCTAGCTCCTTTTTGATAATAGTCATACTCATTACAGTTTATGCTCTCGTATTTCAGAAGACCCAGCAGTGGCACAAAGGTACTCTGTAATGTCAGTAAGAATACTGTACTGTCTTATGAGTGTCCCTTCCTATTCGTCTTCAGAGCAAACAGTAGGTTTTTTATGTGAAGACACAGATAAGGGAGTGTAGTAAGAGATTTGAATGAGCACATTTACTTAAAGGTTTCTGATTTCCCCAATGTTTTACATAGGGAATAATGGTTGACCTGAGCTTGAATTGAATTGTGGAAAAAGTTAGATCAAATGAATGGAGTTCTTGCAGAAGACAAAACCGGGGGAGTATATAATGCAGGCTCTTTTAAATAGTTGTTAATGTTGAATGTTTTTTGGGATGTAGTTGTAAAATATATTTTTCTGAAGCTTACAGTAGCATCAGAGTTTCAAAGCATAAGTTCACTGCTGGATTAACTCAGCTGCTGTTATGATACTTGTTCTTTTTCAGGTAGTACATCAACAATTCTGTAACATTCATCTTTTTATATTTGCAGAATATTGGGGTTGTGTCAGCCATAGGTGTCTGTTTCCTGGTAGCAACAATAGCACTTGGTGCAACCAGCTCTGAGTCTGCTGCTGGAAAAGCTGCATCTGTAAGTCTTCAAATTGCATAATTTACCTTGTATTTATCTTGTATGTGGATTTCTCTGCCCTCTAAACTTTACTCAATTTGCAGGGAAGAAACTGGGCAGGGAACAGAACTGAGTATGATGTTTCAGGAGGAATTACCTATTTCAGACCTTCCAGAAACTTACCATAGGAAATCCAAAGAGCAGGCATTCATCAGGATTGCTGGAAAGCTCTGCATGTACTTGCAGCTCCCTGGTTTTTGCAGCTTGCTTCTGGCTTCCTCAGATCTTGCCACCTTGGCTCCACCAGTGTTTCAATGTTGGCATCCCTCACAGCTTACTCAGTTCTCACATCCCCTGTCCCTGAAATGCCTACTTTTCCCTCAGTTGTCCTCCATAATTCCACCCCCTCACAAAGTCAGCAACAAACCACGTCTTTTGCCAGGCATTATAAAGCGTATGTGGAGAATGCTGACTTGCAAAGGCTGCAGTAAGAGCAGCAGTTTCCTCAGTAACAGAAAGAACTCAGGAGATGTGCATGCATCTCCCAGGGAACACTGAAGAAGCTCAGGGCAAGGCACTGAAGAGGCTTTGGGATGCTGTGGATGTCAGTTCCTCACTCATCTAGCACTTCTGTTGAATAACCTTGGAATTGTGAATGTGTGAGATTAGAAGATCAAATTTTGAGTTTTCTTCTTGAATGAGAAAAAGTGAGTTAGAAACGAAAGCAGAATAATTCTGTCTACAGGCAGAAGGAGCTATTAGAGATACTCACTTTTGTGAAGTCATCTTCTGTGATGTTGATACATTCACACCTAATGGCTTCAGTATAAAGTCTTTTAGGATTGTGTTCTCTTTTTGTGTTGTTTTTTTGTCTGGAGCTGGGAAAACAAAAACTATTGTGATTTAAGACTTACTAGTGTCAAATTGCTTTGGGGCAAACCAGTCATGTAAAATTAGAATAATGCATATGTTTCTTTCCTTGTTTGAAAGAAGCTGGTAAAACCAACCTTCTTACCACTATCTTGCCATGTCTAACAATGAAATGTCATTAATGGAATGTCATTCCATCCCCCCCTTGCTGACCCAGTAAGGATTTGCTTAGGCTCTGCAGATCTTACGGCCCTCCACCTTCTGTGTAGCACTCTTCTTCATATACTCCCTTTAATCAGCAGCTATCTCTTGGAGATAGCTCTACCACCAGTGCCATGCTGCTTTAATTGCAGTAAGATTAATATACTTTTACTATTAAGGGCTGTTTAGAACATACTGTAAGTTTCACACTTGATTAAAAGAATGGGAACTTAAAAAACTTTTGAATTAAGTGTGCTAGAATTACGATTTCTGATCTGGAACTCCTGATTTAAGGAGGACTGTAATCTTAATATATAAGCATTATGAACATATAGAAATAGTCCAGCAAATCTCTCCAAACAATGTTAGAACACTGTTAGTGTTTATACATTTTAGAATCATCTATTCCTCTCACTTTCACAGGTATGTGGATTTCTTGCAAGTACTGCATTTTTAGCTGAAAGTATTACAGACTATTTCCTCCGTCGGAAACAACACATCGATGGACACTCTGACAATCCTGCCCACACCCCGGGTGCCACAGAAAATCAGCCATTAAATCAGCAAAGCTAACTTTCTGGAATGAATTCCTTTTTTTTTTGACTGGAGCAAACTAAAATGAACTTTCAGTGCACTGTAGGTAACAACTTCTGTCTCTTCATTCCAATCTATTTTGTGGACAATGCTCATCACAAATCTTGATAGATCCTAGGTCAAATAATGGCGTCCTGAGCAGCATGTTCTAAGGTAACTTGTCCTGCCACCTGTGCAGGTGACATAGACCAAAACCACTTGTCTAAATAGAATAACTTAAGGACAATGGCATGCTGATCTGGTTTTGACAGAGGTGACTAATCAAGGTTAATGTGTGATGCATAAATTCTGAGCTATATCCTAAAGATATTTTCTCTATAAATGGACCATATATTTCTGTTAAAAGTTATAAATTAGTGTAGCAGAATTAATTTTTATACTTACTAGTCAAACTGTGAATGGAAAAGGGATATGTAAGTGAAGCCTTACAGCAATGCTTGTCCATAAATGAGGGCTTTTGATTTTACTATTCCTACATCTCAGTTGAGACTGTGGAGATCAGTTCCATGGAACAGCAACTGTAGGGGTTTTATAGGGAGGGGAATGTAATGGTGTGTTAAGGAGGCAATTTTGCACCCTATTATTGTCAAAGTTTGCACTTGTGTGCCAGAATCTTCTTTCAGATTGTTTCAAAAGCTGTATAAGTTGCAGGAAGAAACTTGAAAAGCCAGCTGTGAGAGGAAAAAGGTGAAGAATAAGTATTTTCACAAAGTAACCCCAAAAGCAGCGACCTGAACATCAATGGGAACATTGTTGTACATTGATAGTACATTGATAATGGTGACTATTACTTGCCAGGTTAATACCATATGCAGCTTGTTCATGCACAGATAATGGTATGTTTTGCCAGAATGGTTATGGACCCCACCATTTCCTTTGTTTATAAATATGGCACTAGCTTGTGACTTTTTGCTGCTGACTAGCTCAGGTGGTAACCAGGGAAATAAGCACTTGTACCTTTGATTTGTCTTAAAAGCAACTGCAAGAAACACTAGTGATGCAACATGTGTCAGGCAAGTGATGGACGTATCGGGCCAGATGTTGATGGCTGTGAAAGAAATGATGTGGTGAAAAGGCGTTTCTCAGATGTGTGAGGTAGAAGCAAGACTGCTAGGCTTCACTTAAGAGGAAAGCCTTCAAAAGTAGAGCAATTGCTGTAAGCCAGGAGATGTTCCAAAATACCAGAGTAAATGAGAAAAAGCTGATTATACAAAAACAATTCTTGTTTGAGTGCTTGTGACATTCGCCATGCCTTCCAAACAGTAACTCCATTTCATCAATACCCTAGTCTGACAAATTTATACTCCTGTAACCTGCTGTGGCAGGATTGAGACTAAGCCCTCCAGAAGTTGTCTGAGCAAGCTGTATTTGGAAAAGGTTGAGGAAGCTGTTGCAAGACAAAGGACTGTAAAAGAAGGTCAGAGGTTTTTTTCCAGTGTTGCCACTTTCTGATGCACGTGACTTTGTGATGTTCTCTCTCTCTAAGGTCTGAGACTTAATCCTAACACTGCAGTTTGCTTGGAGGATGTAAAATTTTAGCAGGTGGTGTGAAGCATCAAGTTTCAGAGCTGTGCATAAAAGACAAACTTTTCTTCACAGAATTTCCTGCTTTGTGAAGAACTCTTTGGACAGGCCTTTTTATTTTTTATTGATGTCCATGTGCTCTAAAGTCTGATCTCATTCTGGGTGTACAGAGCTTGCTGCAGCTGCCTCTGAATCATAGAATCAACTGGGTTGGAAAAGACCTTTAAGATCATCCAGTTCAACCATTACCCCAGAACTGCCAAATCTACCACTAAACCATATCACTAAGCCTCATCTACATGGTGTTCGAACACTTCCAGGGGTGATGATTCCACCACTGCCCTGGGCAGCCTGTTCCAATGCCTGAGCACCCTCTCTGTGAAGAACTTTTTCCTAATATCCAATCTAAACCTTCCCTGGTGCACCTTGAGGCCGTTTCCTCTTGTCCTATCACTTGTTACTTGGGAGAAGAGACCAACCCTCACCTCACTCCATCCTCCTTTCAGGTAGTTGTAGGCAGCGATAAGATTCCCCCCGAGCCTTCTCTTCTCCAGAACCGAACACAGGATTTGAGGTGCGGCTTTACCTGGGTCAAACTGGGTAAACTGGGTAGATCAGGGACATTTTGTTTACAAGCAGTGTTACTGGTGATATGGAACTTGCCATAATGTCTCTGCTGTGATTTGCAGTGTCTTTCTTTGGGGGTTGTGTCCATATCTATGATTAACATTCTATAGTGGTGTGGTTTTTTCCTAAATTTTTTTTTTTTTTTTTTTTACTGACCAGGATTATGCTGAATTTGTTTCCACATCAAAATGTCTGTAGTCTCTAAATCTTGATCTATAGTTAAAAGCTGTAAATACAGTATGAGTAATACAGTATGTGCTGCTGATATTTATTAAGCAGTGCAGCACCGTGACAGGACTTTTATCATGAGGTAATTTTTCCTATGTTTTTTCTCAGCTTGAAAAGCTGTGAATAGACTTCTTGGCTTTGGTTACCTTTCTATAGACTCTTCCCCATCTGAGTGCTTTGTTATCGGTGTCTGTTCCTGAATTGGAGATACTGGTACAGTAAGGGATCTGTAAAGTCATCTCTCTGTCTTGGCCTCCCTATCTGTGATATCTCTGCTGATACTTCAGGGAGAAACTGAAATACAAAGCAAGTTATTTTTATGAAAAGGTGCCACAAGGAGTTGGTGTCAGAAGAAATGACTCTCAGATCTCCTGACCCCTGTAACCTATTAGGCCCTTTGAAACAAATACTGCCAACCTTTGCAGAGTGGCTTAATGGATTCTCCTGTTACATGTATGCTGGCATCCTTGGCATGTGTAGGGTTGTTAGAGTGAGGGGAGTTTGCCATGCATTTTGTTTTCATTTTCAATCTATACCCATTCACTCACCAACTGGCTGATCCATGAGATTTGAGGATCAGATTCCATCTTTGACTGAAAGGGATGCAAGAGTTGCTATCAGCTCATGAAAATGACAAAGAGCAGTCTTTGGGAAACTGGTTAGTTGTTTTCCCTTATGGCACAGGAGCTTACTGATAGGAAGAGTCCTGCTATTCTTTACAACAATACATATTGCTCCATTCCAGATACAGTCTGTCACACAGTAGTTAAATACTAAAGCAAGTCACATATTGGTTGCAGGTTTAAGGCAATTGCTATATTGTGGCTTCCAAACTAGTTGTTGGTTAACAAAGCAGTTTCTGCATGGTGGTACTATTGATTTTAGGCTTTTAAGTACAAGGTGATTCGTAAGTTCTTCATGATCTGTTTCCAAATAGTTGTGAAGCAGGTTTGCCAATGTGTATGCTGCTCTGCTGCTTGTAAGGACATTTCTTTAACTGCATTATCAGCTTCCTAAGATAAAGGGGCAGGTGTGTCCCTCCTGGGTCCTCTGCACTCCCAGCAAGGTGGAGAGACTTCCTTGCTGCAGTGACTGAGCAGGCAGGTCTCCTGTAGTCTTGCCATGTCCCGTTTAATGCATCTGGTGTCAGATCCAGTCTTTGAGCATCTGTCTTGTAATCGGCCTGATCCCAGAGAATGGTGTTGGAGCTAAATTAAACATCAGGAGCTCTGTGCGTGTTGCTTTGTGGATGGCTCTTACCCCTCCTGTGCTCTGTCAGCAAAGTGGTCTGTTTCCCAGCCTACTTCTGATGAAATCAGCCTGCTTTATTTAAATTGCTTATGTTAAGGTGGCTGACTTTGGCCAAAGTGGATTAGGGATTGCTCAGGAGAGTGGTGGGAGCTCTGGCAGAAGTGCTGTTACAAGCAACTGTTTAATTTTCTTCTTCTATTTGCAAAGTAAACATCTCTGTACAATCTTAACTGCTAGTAAAACCTGTGGAAAGAAGCAACTGGCGCAGTGCATCTGTCTGGGGATTGTTGTCTTCTACAGCACAGTGCCTGGCAGTGGTGTTGTGAGCTTGCTCAGACACATGAAGATCTTTCTTCTTTTCCAGCTGAGCCCATACAAAACTATTTGAAGGCTCTGCAGCCACTTTCAGGCTTTGTTTTGAGTGCATCGAGAATCGGTGGAGAAGTTTTTCCAGGACATGTGAGGACTTGTTAAGCAGCTGGACTGTGAGTTTCTGCTCTGAAAATCTGCACAGGCATTGTGCAGATTGTGAATGTTAATTTTTGTGTGTGGCATTTAGCTCACATGAAAATCACACCACTACCAGCGTCCTTTGGGTTCTGAACATGGGAAGGAATTGTGCCTCACTGCTAGCACTCCATGCCTAAAAATACCAGGGAAGGGTTGTGGTCTGTTACAACTGAGTTCTGCCTTTGTGCCCGCCGACTTGAAAAACCCATGAGCTCCCTCACACAGTTCTCAGAGCTGTGCACAAGATGTTTTTGCATAATGACCATCATGGTGATCCTCATTCAAACTTGTGCAATAAAAATGCCAGGCTTTCTAAGCTGAAGGGAAAGATGTTGTAAAATCTTGGAACCACGCAGCCGCTC